GCGCCCCGGCCGGGCAGCGAAGGGGCGTCGTGCCAGCAGTTCCTGTCCGATCAGTTCGTCGATAACGTGCGACCCGCGCTTGGCACCCAGTTGCGGTTGACGAGAACTGACCGGTTGAGTGCGGAGCAGGTTCACCTGGCACGGGAACAGACCGAAGCGCCACTGGCCGTGTTGCAGTCGAAGCAGAAAAGGGATGATTTATCCGTAGGGGACCTACGGACCAAAGTGGACCGACTAACCAGACAGCCTGTCGCCATCAAGACAGAATCGCAGAAGCACGCTGGAACGAGCCAATGCTACAACTGTGGCATACCTGGCCTGATATCTGTTCCCGGCCATCTCTAGATGGTAACGCCTTGGTTTAACGTTCTATTCGAGGGATGGGTTGTGATTAGTACTGTCACACAGGCTACGATGAGGAGCCTCATTCAGATCGACGGGAACAGGGAGTTGTGTTCAATCGATACGTGAGCAAGGGTGATAGCTGAGTAGAGAGGAAACGAAGAATGCAAACCGTGCGCACTAGCCATGAGGGCAGTAGGCGAGTACCGACTGAAAGTTGACGGATCACAAATGCACTCAACGCGTCCAAGCGACAAATCGTTGTAGCACGAGTTCCTGATCAGCGCAGACACACACAATTCGGGGGGCAAATCTCCTCAAAGCGCAGANACCGAAAGCGAGAGAAAAATATGACAAAATATAGTTCACTCAAGCTTTAAGGTTACCCTAGCTCCGTCCCCCACATTTGATGCAAAGTGAGGTGTCACGGAGATTGTGGAACCGCCTTGTGGTGTCTTTTAATATTGTGTGATAGTCAATGAATATCCAGGGAAGTTCAGAAGGACGCGTGAAAATGTTTGGTTTTCAAAAACCATCTGTATATGACATATACTTTCGTGCTTGTAACCGTCCAGTTCATTTTTGCTAATGAATGACTTTGCAGCGGAGGTCTTTCCTCCTTTCATTTGGTGCCGTGACAAGAATATGGATGAAAATCCCATGACCACGACCTTTTGATCACGGGGATGTGCACATCTTTTGGAGATATATATGCCACAGATGGTAACCACAACAGATGTGTCATAGCTAAACCTGTAGCACAGCTGGTCTCCTTAAACTGACAACACTGTTGGCTAGCCAATTCCCAGTGATGGATAAACAGTACGGGAGAACAGTGCGCTTCGTGTACAAACTAGCTCGGGAGCACTTGCTATGGCAGGGAGAAAACATTTTTGTTAATTGTTGGCAGTTCGATATTAGAACGAGCTGGAGCATCGATTTCGACCCTACCTACCTCGATCTATCTAAAAGTATTGTTAGGGCACAAAAACCTTTAAGGAAAAACCACGATTAGTCACTTAGGTATAGTTCCGAAGTTCCGTTCACTTATGCAATTAATTCTGGTTTTCCTCGGAGCCATCTTTTCACAAATCCATGACTCATCACCATCATCGACAGCATGACTGCAGCTGAATGTCCAATCATTTCGGTCCATCAGTTGCTGTTACGTGGCACGACCCACCAAAGTTGACTGTAACGCCCTAATCAACTTGACAGCATGATCACTCATGTATCGATTATGATCTATAAGCCTACAGAGATACTGTTTCATATACCTGACCAGTGCCTCGACAGGAAAACGCCGTACAACTCTGTAGCACAAACTTCCCATTGATGCTCAGAAATACAGGCGGTGGCCTGGTCATACTTATCGCACTAACAATTGCAATGTGGTTAGTTTCTAACATGTGTCTCTTTGTTCTCAATAGAGTGCAGCACAGCAGGCGGTTCGCAAAAAGCGGCTCTGCTGGTCGGGCGAAAAGCACTCCTGTCCTTCCCACTCATTATTAAACAGTCTATACTTAAGGCTACCGACCGAACTGTTAGGGATATATATCAAAACTGCTAATATGAGCATGCCCCACGAACTCGGGGATTGACCGAACGACCCTACTGCCCTGAGAAGACTATTTCGACAAAAACATCAAAAGTAGTGGTAGACCGGGGTCAACGTTTTACTGATGTAGTCAGTCAGACGGAACTTGTGTCAAGCAGTTTACATTTGGGGATCTATTCCAGACAAGCCCAGTCAAGAAATTAACCGCCGCCATCCAAAAAAAAATATCAGAAAAAAGGACATGAAACTTGTACTTTAAGTTTTTAAGGAGGGTGAAATTGGGACATGTCACTAATAGTTTACATGACAAGGTCCGTTTTTCGGTACCTTTGCCTCCAAATGAACTCACACAAGTAGCTGTCCACTAAAGATCGGTGTCTTGTTTATTCTGCATCTTGTAGACGTGCCAAAGAGGTTCGATGGTTTGCGTGTGGGCTCCAGTCGTTCAATCCATAAAGTTTTCGGTATGATTAACCGTTTCATGAGTATGATTCATGTCAATCATCGTTTCAATTCCTTGGTATGATGCCCACATATCAGAGACGATGACTGAGCCGGGAGCGATGCAGGCCTGGATTGTATCCATCGAAGTGGCCGCAGTTTGATCTGGCATTGCATACATGAACACTTCTTTAGTTTCCCGGCAGATTCCTCCGAAAATCTACTGCTGGGGAAAGACTCGCCCTGCGAGATATTAGCATTTCATCGATCTAGACGTGTAGACCTCGGCCGCCGATAACTGTTGGGGTCTATAAAAGCCGCAAGGCGCAAACTTCGCGAAGGTTCTTCCAGTTAACAGCGGACCAGCAATAAATGAATAGGATTACTGTCTTAAACTCCGTCCGTTCAAAGAAAGTAGAAAACAGTGGGGAATTGGGAAGCAGACCAACTAGAAGTAGAAGTAATGGACATTCATCAACATTAATGCCAAACCCATCGAAAAGAGTGTAAGACAAGTACAACTTACATTGATCTGGCTGAGGAGGACAATAGCCATGATGATGCCGAAAATGGCCACGGCTTCACAAAATATAACGCTGACTAAGTTCTTGGTGCGAATTCTGGGGGCTTTGACAGCCGCCCCAATTATCGTTGACCCGGTTATATAGATGCCCCTGGATAAGTGGAGAACATGGATAAGTTGTCTGAGTTTAACCGGGAAATCAATCAATCACAATCAATCTGATGGGGAAAAATCACAGCTAGTAATGATAATCATGATTGGCAACGAACACCCGGTCACATCTAAAGAGCACCAATTTGTTCACACCACTGAGAATGCACGGAAAAGGTTACCCCTCGTCGAAAGCTCAATATAATCATATGATTAAGCCAAAACTTATTTCCGATACAAAGCCAGTCTTGTCAGAGCAAATGTCTGTATGGGGATGGTTGTCTATAAAATCCCTAGCAAAACACACGGTCTTGAGATGGAAGACGGCCTTAAAACACCCACCTTGAGGCCCATTAATTTCTTGATGGATGAGTGAGTTGAGTAGACTGTGCAGGCTACATGAGAAGGTAATCCATGGGTGCAGAGTCTCAGGAATGTTCCAAAACGTTCGCCAGGCTCGGACTAATGTTCGACATCAACAGCTGCTCTGGTAACGCGCACTCAGTCATAGAAGGGCTGTATTATTGTTCCCTACCTTTCATGCATGATAACAGCATATGGTTCACCTGGACCCCGAACTTCGTGGTGCTTGATCATTCCTAACATCCTTGTCTCCGAAATATGCATACAAGACCCCACTTCGGTCGTGCACCTCAAGCCGCTTAGGACGAGTCCAGATGTTCCACATTTCACTCTACGGGTATCTGGTGATCCTGACGCAACGGCTCTTGGTATCTACGATGTGGGAGTTGCACTCAGCCCGGAGGCTGAAAGCATCTTACTGCACTGTATTCCACGAAATAGTCGCCTATGCGTTGTACGGTTGTCTGGCTCAAGTAAGATTAACGCAGGAAGATGCGGTAAACGGTGTTTGTTTGTCGTATCAGCATACGGCCCAAAAGATAGCAGTTCACACTGGGAGGACGAGTTTTATCAAGATCCGTCACGACTGCTTCGGTCAGCAAGAAGCTGAGTTGGGTGGTACATTTGGAGTCGATGCTGAGCGTGCGGATAACAGGGAACGGTTTCTTCAGCTGTGTGCAGACCATCGTCTGTTCTTCACCAGTACGAACTTCTAACACAAGCGCTCACACCGAGTTACTTGGAGGCCACCTACCACAACACAGTCGTGGACCCTATTGGACCACACGGTCATCTGTTACCGATAAGTACGCAACTTGACTCTGATCACCCCCATCGTGAGCACCCGCTTAGCACTTCGCATTCCTCCAGCACCACGCGTTCCTTCCACCAACTTCCACAAGTTTCAGTTGCTGAAAATTATCCAGCTAATCTGCCTGGAAAGCTACTGGGAGCGCAGTCATGTGGACGACGAAGATCACTTAGAGATTGAATGGAGACCAGTTAAAGCAATGCGCTCAGCTTTCAGAACTGTTTGTCAGAGCCATCTGACTCGCAAAATGAACACTGCATATCTTCGAATCGGCAGCTCTTATTGATGCCAGAAAGGCCAGACCAGCAACTAGCGACTATGATCGCGCTTACAGATCCCCCCAAACATCGAGTAATCAAGAACTTGAAGAATGAAACACAGTTTTCGCATCTTGACTTCCAGTTTCTGACATATCGTTATCAAGCTAGTTCAGTCTTAGAGCAACAGAAACTTGTTCTTCTGCTTTCTTCAGAGTGCGAATATTGAAAGCACCCAGGTTGATGGCATCGAGACTTGAGGAGTGATTTCGAAATGTCTGAGGATGTCGACTCTCATTGACGTACAGATGTTGCTTGTAAAACCCCTACAGGTTGAACGGAGTCATCAGTCCTAACTGCTGGGCCTACAAGGAGAGGGTTATTAATGGAGTGGGGAGGGTGGAGAGAAAGTATGTGAAGGAATAAGAAGGAAGACATCAACAGTAGCTTGTCCTCACTCACCCGCCCTGCTGTATGCAGCAAGTAAGGCGACCCGGCTGATGGCACCATGCAACGGCCGATGTGCCTTCAGAGTACTGTTAATTGTAAGTGTACGTAATATTCCGAAAATTCTTACAATAAGAACATATATGGGTTGACGAACATGTTTTCGGCAGAGTATTTTCAAGTCAATCACTTGCAAAGGTTAAGAAAACAGTATTTAATATATTTGAATGAGCATGTTGTCATGGTTGTGTGTGGGCCAGGATACTGCCATGGTGCCCACACCTAGACAGGATGACGACTAGGTTCCTCGACTAAAACCTGTGGCTCAAAAGCCTGACCGCACTGCCGCGGTGTTTGGCGGAAAGTGCAACTACATCTCGATTTTTACAAAAGTCGCCATATATATTTCAACCCCTTGTCTGGAGGAACAAGAGACTGTTTTGTTCAGACCTCTAGACATAAATCAGCCTGGCCTGATAGACTCTGTAAGCGTCGCACTGGCATCCCCATAATAACTCGATGGGTCGCGAAGGTACACAAACCGTTACACCACAGTAAGGTCCAGCCTCCTTATGACAGCCAGGTAGCCAGAGTAGCGGACCACTTGCTAGTGTGCGTCTTTTTCGAACGACCCACTCATGTTCAGTTAGTTAGCCTTATGGACATCCGAGGCTACAGCCGCTGGAAGAACCAAGAGGGCCCGAATGGGACATTGACACCTACTCACCATCAGCAACCGAAATCCAGCGTGAGATTTCAATCCTGAAGCGCAATAAGGCACCTGGCCCGGATGGTCTACATTCCGCGCTCTTTAAAGGTGGCGAGGTCCTGGTGAACGGTCTGAAAATCACACTGCAGATTTGGGACGGAAACAGAATACCACCCGAACAGAGCTCCCCGACCATCATCCCAGTTTTCAAAAAGGAAACAAGTACGTCATGTGAAAACCATCGTGGTATAAGCCTGGTGTCCGTTGCATCTGAAGTACTCTGGCCTTATCTTGCGCAAGTTGATGGATTATCGAGAGAGACAGATTC